GCAAATTACGTGCATTCCATCAGGTGATGGGAAACGGAAACACAAGAAAGCTGATGAAGACCCTCATTTTTGAAAGCTTGGGGCCAAGGTCTGAATTTCGCAGTAGTTCACATTTTTCTTTTGGTTGTGTCATTCCAGCAAGATGTTACATGCCATGTGGTTTCTAGAAAAGCTCCAGCCACCCCAAGATGTGATTGTGGGTGTGTGATTCTGGCACTGCTGCCGACCAAGCTACCTGTTAGTGCATCTAACTTAGCCTGTCTTTTCTCCACCCCTGAATTGTTTGGGAGAATCGTCAACCCCGCAGCCCCTCACCCTGGGGCAGGCTAAGGAAGCGGCCCCAGGAGAAGCAGTTTGATTGCAAACCAGGGTCTGCAGTTGCGGTTTTGATTTGGGGCCCACATTTGAAACTCCTTCTGGTTTTCTCTGTACAGCCTATCCTCCTGTCAGTCCTTCGGGCCTCTGGGGTTGCTGCTGATCAGAGTACCTCGCTGCCTTTTGGAGGCATCTGCCAAGAGACCTCAGCATGAGTTTTGTGAACCTCATATGCCCTTTATTTCAAGTCAGATTATTTCAAAGATATTTCTCAAATGCAGTTAAATTCCACTCTGAGGTTTAACTGTTCTGAAAGCCGTTGTCACTTTGAGGGCCTCCCTGGGACCTCTAAAAGTGAATCTTGAATATGCCATTTTAAGTCAGACCTTCCAAAGCATGCCCTCCCTTCTAGCTGAAAATCAGTTTAACAATTTTCACATGATGTGTTAATGTCACTGTATTCATAGCGATTACTCCGAGAAGATTAAAGGTCATGCTAACCCTTTGGCATCTCTTAAATCCCGAGAGTCCTCAATGTAGGAAAATCCTTGCGAAGTTAGAATGCTTCTCCTATAGTCCAGCAAACACTGGTAACTGGAAGACTCACTTTGAAGCAGCTTCCCAGGGGGAACCATCAGGAAAAGTTCAAGACTGGGTTCTCTGAGGATGCACAGGCATACACACACGGAAAAATGAGGATCTCTGAAATTGCTTCCCTGCACTTAGACACAGTCCTCTACATGTGAACGACATGCTAAGCAGGGAACTGAGGCCTCTGGAAGTAAGGAAACCTGTGATTCTTTCAGGTGCTAGAACTCTTCTGGGTGTTTCCCAGGAGGCTAGGTGACAGGGCCAGGATGAGGAGATTGAAGACAGGATAATCAGCAACAGCAGCGAGTCAGCTTTGTGTAGGAATAAATCAGTGAGTTTTAAAAACATCATCTTTTGGGTCCCCATATGGTGCCCAACACTTTTTGCATATCACCTAGGTTGTCTCCAATCCTCACAGTCCTTTGAGGATGAGAACTCATCCCAATTTTGCACACCACTGAATTCCTTTCCTTGCTTTATTTTTCTCCATTGCACTTTCACTTTCCAATATACTGTCTACTTATTTATGTTATTTATCATCTGTCCTCACTAGGAGGTAAGCTCTGGGACGGCAGGTATTCTTGTCTGTTTTACTCACTGATGCTTTCCTGGGACCTAGAATAAAAGAGTGAATGAATGCATGAATAGAAACACAAAGAGGCTAGTAACTGTCCTCTGTCAGACTGCAAGTGAATGATAGAGCTAAGATTTGAACCCAGGCCCATGTGCTACACAGACAACTAGATAAGTAATTGTAGTTGTGAAAATCCAAGACACACTCTAAGGAAAAGCAATAAGCAACATTTACTGCGTGGTTAACTAAATTAAGAGGTGCATACAGTTGAAGGAAACCACCAGATGTAGGAGCAGAAAAGTAAGCCTAACTTTTGATCCTAACATGTATGGGGAAGGTGCAACAGAATATGTGACTCTGGTGGTCAAAATTCAAAATGCAGACCTTAATCCTGCAAATCCCAGCGGGGAACAGCGCAGCGTGCTGTGATCTCTCCAACATCCTGTAATATTTACATGTATGTGGTTAATCCTTAACGGTCTGGCCTCAAATCCTGTTCCCACCATTTTCTAATGTGTGACCTCAGGCAAATTCCTTAACCTCTGTGAATGGAGATCATTTACATGGGTTTTCTGGAGACTGACCAAAATTATGAACTTAAATAGAGAAATCATTACCATGCCTACAATGTAGTAAATGCCCAAAATGTATTATTTCTACCAGATCAATTTGGTTTGGTTTGGAGAATAGAGTGTTTTTAAACGGATCCATTAGGGAGAAGTTAGAAAGGTAACTGGGCACTTTCTGTCTGTAGAAGGAGTTACAGGATTTTGACCCTGGTCTGTAACAGCACCTGCTTTGCTTGACAGCTGAACTGGGAGGGATTAAACTGTTTAGGGAAGTTCCTCAGAGGGCTTCTGTGGAGACTAGCCAATTCCAGGCGAGCTGTTAAACAGCCCACAAAGGGGGTCTTTGGGTTGGAAAGGACTCAGGCTATTGTGCTGGTTCGGAATTCAAAGCGATAAAAATAATAACAGCTAATAGCACCCCTTGGTCGCCTCCAGTCATCGCAGATATTTTTATTATCTCCATCTTGCCACCGTGGAAGATCGGGCTTAGAACAGAAGGTTTAACCACTGTCGAGTGTTTAGGAAGCGACCGAGGCACAATTTAAACCCGGGCCGCCCCACTTCAGAGGCTCTTGACGCCACCTGCTTTAGGAACGCACCGTCAGGAGGCCGTTTTATAAAACGTGCCGAGAAGGACCGACGTTTCGTTGCGATAGGGTTAAGAAGCACGGGTCAAACTAAACGTTTCCATCGTCAGGTTTGCAAAATGTTGGCGATTATCCTTCCAAATGTGTGCCCAGGCTCAGGTAACTTGCACTTTAAAAAGAGCTAAATAGAAACTAATGTTCCTCGGGGCCTCTTCTGCGGGAGGTCCCGGGCTGAAACAGCCCGCGGGTCTCGGTTCTGCAGCAGGGCACCCTGCATCTCCTCGCCTCGCCTCCAGGCCCCAGGGACTGAAATGTTTGGGGCTGGGAACGTCTGTAACAGGTGGGGGCGAATCGGAGGCGTCAACTCCAGCGAAGGCCTCCTCCAGCTGGAACTAAATGATATCCAGTAAAATATGGGAATTTTGTTCCAAGTCATGCCCAAAAAAGGAGCGGCGAGAGGAGCACGGCAGCCCCCACCTTCGTCGATCGCGCTCCTCCAGGGGCGGCCTGCCTGCATCAGAGCTCCAAAATTGGCAACCTGGGCCTCGCAGCCTGCTTTTTTTAGCCTACATTCCCCAAACCAGGGAAGAGGCGGGTGACTAAAAATGCAAATTGGAGCGGGGCGTCAACAGGCTGGCCCGTGGGTGCGGAGTCTGGCTAAGGGAGACCCCACGACCTCAGGTGCCCTCCGTCACATTTGCGATGGGCACGGAGCGCCGGCAGGGGCGCTCGGAACAGCCGCTCCCAGCCAAGCCGCTGCCCCCGCTTCCGCCTCCCTGGCGGCGGCCGCACAAAGAGCGGCCTCTTTTCCGCGGGGGGTTAGGGAGGGAGGGGAGGCCGGATTAGGGCCCGCGCCTTCCGGCCCCAGCCCCCCTCCCCTCCCCCGGCCTCAGCGCCGCGCCGGCCGCACACAGGTGGTTTTCCGCTCAGGAGAGGCAGGCCCCGGCACTTTTATATAACAATGGAGCTCTGCGCGCCGGGACTGCGCCTCCCTGTCGCCGATGCCCCAGCCAGGCCACGCCTCCATCCGGCCCCTGGCCGGCCCGCCCGGCGCCTCGGCGGAGCGCTGCTCGCTGGCGGGGCCAACACCTCCCCTATTACCTGCTGGCTCTGCAGAGCTGCAGAGACGTTCCCCGGGACTCCTAGCCCTCCTTAGGAGCCAGGGGTTCCCCTTCTGCACTCCCCTCACCCTCCCTAAGCCGCTACGGAGCCCACAGTCCCTCACACAGTCCTGCAATCAGCTCCACACCCGTCCGCAGAGTCGCCCAACGTCCGGTGCCCACTTAGTTAGAAGGCGGGGGTAATTGGGTGCTGGCAAGGAGTGCAACGCGCAGGCGCGACCGGTGCTCCGCTAGTGCCCGGTGAGGTTGGGGGAGGGGGCTGCGGCTCAAGCAGGGAAGAGGGTGTATGTGCGTGGAAGCTCCTCTTTGACATGGCTTTCTGGCTACAGTAACCAGTCGCCAAGCCCAGCTTATCCCTGCGACCTGCAGGCCTTGCGGGAGGACTTCCCCATGCCTCGACGATGGTGGGGACAGCCCGCAGGCTCCGCGCGCCCTAGCGCATGTCGCGCCAGACCAGCTCCTTTTTCGAAAACTGAGTTCCCTACTTACAAATGATTAATGAGCGTGACCCCCACCCCGCACAACGCGAACAATGGCTCTTAACGCCCCACGCCACAGGAGGGGAATAAAAGCATCGTACTGCCCAACAAGTTTGTTTCTGCAGCCTCCACTGTTTTTTAAAAAATAAGTAAAACGTATTTTTTAAAAGCTTTATTCCTAATATCTGAACAACAGGCTCTTGTTTGTTTGCTTGCTTTAAAGTGTTTCAATAAAATCCTGGTTTGTTTCCAAAGATGTTGGATTAACATTTAACACCTCATCGATCACTAAAGCCAGGCAGTCCAGCAGCCCCAACACAGCCTCGGCTAAAAGAACATCAGAGCAAACAGAATTGGGCTTTTTAAACTGGCAAACAAACGTCACAGTGCCTAAAGGAGGGCGGGAGGGGGGTAGGGTTAAGGAGAACTCCGGTCCAAAAGAGTTTAAAGGAAATAAAAAAGAAAAGTCAGTACAAGTTTTCCTAAAGCTAGCTTGCGAGCACAGGCGTCACGAACAAGGGCTTTTGTGCCTGCTAATTGCACCATTTGTGCGCAAAAGTTCCGACGCGAAGTGTGAACTCTCAACAGAAGGAAACATGAGACAACTGAAGTGCCCTGGTTTATGTGCCCTGCTCCTCCGCCGCCGCCGCCTCCTCTTCTTTCTCCTTCCTCCCGCCGAGCCCGCTGTTGCAGCTTGTTTGCACTGGGGCTTATCCGGAGCGGAAATTCCTTTCCGTTTTTGTGAATGACAAACTCATTAACAATTCATCAACACAACCTGTTCCAGCCGGCCCGTCTCCACGGTAACAGCCCCTTCCGCAGCACGCTCATTGGCTGGCTGGGAGAATGTATCCATTGAGACGCTCGCTGTTTGTATCCATTGAGGAGCTGCCTCGCGCTAGGGGTGTGCGAGGGCTGAGTCCGAGAGAGACAGGGAGAGAGAGAGAGCAAATAGAGGCTTGAATAATCCGAGGAGAAAGACGCTCGGGTGGATTTGAGGTGCAGCCTTGGAGGGAGGGATTAGGAGCCGCTGGACTTTTTTTCCCTCCTCCCCTCTCAGTAGCACGGAGTCCGAATTAATTGGATTTCATTCACTGGGGAGGAACAAAACTGTCTGGGCACCTTCATTCAAAGCGATTCATTGACACCGAGAACGAGCGGCTGCAGCCCGGTGCAGAAGGAACCTCCGGCTTCACTTCTGTCTCTCCTTCCCCAACCTCTAACCCGGTTTGGGAAGAGCGAGGTGGAATTCAACCCCGCTCCGTGAGCGGCGGCTTCGCTTAGCGCGCTCGGCCTATGCCTGCCCCAAGGGGCATCTGCTAGGCACCCCACCCTCCCTCGCAGCTCGACCCCCATGATAGATACGCTCAGACCCGTGCCCTTCGCGTCGGAAATGGCGATCAGCAAGACGGTGGCGTGGCTCAACGAGCAGCTGGAGCTGGGCAACGAGCGGCTGCTGCTGATGGACTGCCGGCCGCAGGAGCTGTACGAGTCGTCACACATCGAGTCAGCCATAAACGTGGCCATCCCGGGCATCATGCTGCGGCGCCTGCAGAAGGGCAACCTGCCGGTGCGTGCGCTCTTCACGCGCGGCGAGGACCGGGACCGCTTCACCCGGCGCTGCGGCACCGACACAGTGGTGCTCTACGACGAGAATAGCAGCGACTGGAACGAGAACACGGGTGGCGAGTCGGTGCTTGGACTCCTGCTAAAGAAGCTCAAGGACGAGGGCTGCCGGGCGTTCTACCTGGAAGGTATGTGCTAGGGGAGCGCGGCGCGCGGGGCAGGACGGGACGTGCGAGGCTGCGGGCTGCCGGCGGGGCAGGCAAACTGGAGGTGCCCCGGCTGCGTTTGGCTAGCGCTTCTGAGCCGCGCTGCCCCGCCTGGGGCTGCCCGCCCGCCGGCTCCAAGCTGCGAACCTCGCGCGTCCGGCACGGGAGAGCTGGCCTGGCGCAGAATCCACCCGCGTCAGGGCCGCAGGCACCAGCCGATCTAATCAATTGTTACTTGTAATATCCTCCACTTTGCCCTGCTTTCAGTCGTTCGATTTTGAATTAAGATTTGCAGGGTGGGATAGGTCGTTGTGGGTGCACATTGGCATTTCCTAGCCCCTCAAAATATTCAGAAAAGTTGCCATTTTGTGCATTTCCGGATTCAAAAAGAATAAGGGATTCCAGGGGAGGCTGGCCCATTCGTTCCATTTTCAAGGGTGCACATTTAAGTGTCTTTATTACATCTGGCTCTGGGTGTAGAGGGTTCGTAAGGTGCTGTGGTGTTTCCTGCGTCCGGTTGCGGCTTTCAAAGCTGTGAAAACTACTACGGGATCTCGGGTTACACGATTGCTTTTCTCGTCCTGGCAGGTGGCTTCAGTAAGTTCCAAGCCGAGTTCGCCCTGCACTGCGAGACCAATCTAGACGGCTCTTGTAGCAGCAGCTCGCCGCCGTTGCCAGTGCTGGGTCTCGGGGGCCTGCGGATCAGCTCCGACTCTTCCTCGGACATTGAATCTGACCTTGACCGAGACCCCAATAGTGCAACGGACTCGGATGGCAGCCCGCTGTCCAACAGCCAGCCTTCTTTCCCCGTGGAGATCTTGCCCTTCCTTTACTTGGGTTGTGCCAAGGACTCCACCAACCTGGACGTGTTGGAGGAGTTCGGCATCAAGTACATCTTGAACGTCACCCCCAATCTGCCGAATCTCTTTGAGAACGCAGGAGAGTTTAAATACAAGCAGATCCCCATCTCGGATCACTGGAGCCAAAACCTGTCCCAGTTTTTCCCTGAGGCCATTTCATTCATAGGTGAGACTAATTAACCAGTACTCGCTCAGACTTTTAAATGCAAAAATCATTAGCCATTCACAGAGTTCAAGCTTTTGATTTTTTCTCGCTGCTTGTTAATTTGTCAGACTACAGGTCTCTAATGTTCGGAAGGTCTTCTTCATTCTGGTTTATCTTGCTAAGAAAAGAAAAACCACCGTTTGATCAGGCTGCTGATCACACGTGTATTTCAAATGCTGTCTGTTTCTTGACTCTAAATTCAGTCATAATCAGACAACAGAATTTTACCACAATCTTTGGAATGGGGGAGGCCTAGATAGCAGTACTTATGGTAGGCAGGAATTGTAGCACTGCTTTATCATTTTAAAAGACCTGGAAGTTATTTTAGGACATCAGGTTAGTTGTTGGAAAGCCCTATGAATGCTAGATGTAATCCAGTTGAATGTTACTGTGATACCAGTGAACAGTGAGACGGTGAGGGTAACCTGAGCCCAGCAGGAAGGACTGTGGGCTGGCAGCCTGGAGAAGCGAATCTCCAGGCATTGTAATGCATTTCCTATTACAAAGGAACTCATTTTCAGGCCATGTCGACATCCTGTTCCTCCTAATGGGCTGTCCCCTGTGACTTCCCTCTCTCTTTTAAAATGCCTGAATACCTCCATTGTTAGCTGCACAACAGTTGGAGAATAATTTAATAGACCCTTGCAGTCTGCTTGTCTGTATAAAAGGCATTCACTACCATATTGCAGGGTTTCTGGTATTCACATGCTGAGGCAAAGAATGCCCACATTAAGGAGGTTTTTTTTGTTTGTTGTTGGCAGAAACTTAATACAAAAGCTCCCTTTTCAGAAAATATCTGAAATATGTAATTGTGCCCAGTGTACACGTTTTATCACAGTGATACATTTTCTGCTGCCTGCAGGGCTCAACTGCCACACGAGATTATTTTTTAAATCTTTTTAAAAATTCATCTTTTAGACGGATCATTCACAAAGGCTGGTTTTTCGGTCTACTGAAATCTTGCCTTTCTTTCTGTGTTTACAGACGAAGCCCGGGGCAAAAACTGTGGCGTCTTGGTGCATTGCTTGGCTGGCATTAGCCGCTCAGTCACTGTGACTGTGGCTTATCTTATGCAGAAGCTCAATCTGTCAATGAACGATGCTTATGACATTGTCAAGATGAAGAAATCCAACATCTCTCCCAACTTCAACTTCATGGGCCAGCTGCTGGACTTCGAGAGGACGCTGGGACTCAGCAGCCCCTGCGATAACCGGGTCCCAGCACAACAGCTCTACTTCACCACTCCTTCCAACCAGAACGTCTACCAGGTGGACTCCCTGCAATCCACGTGAAAGGCCCCACATTCCTCCGCGCTAGGATGTGTCCTTTCCTTTAGCAGTTTCTCTTGGCAGCATCAGCTGGGCTGCTTTCTTTGTATGTGGCCCAGGGTGTCCAGATGACACCAGCTGTCTATTAGACAAAGGTTATCATATGTGGAATTGGTTATTACAAAGGGAGAGATTTGCTCCATTCTCCTTGAAAGAACAGGACATGCTGTATAGATACAGGCAGTCGGTCTGCTCCACACCTATGTGTACAGCCTACCCATGCAGGGACTGGAATTCGCAGACTTCCAGATAAATAGGGTAGGACCAAATGGTAGGATAGGAGCATGTGTTCTTTAGAGCCTTGTATGACTGTTTCCTTTTACATCTGGAACTGACTATATTGTCTTCAGTGAAGACTGATTCAATTTTGCATATAGAGGAGCCAAAGACAGGTTTCAGCTCTAGTGTCAGTTTGCAGGAAAAAAACAAAAACAAAAAAACACACCGTGAATAATAGATAAAATAAATCTGATACTCCATTTGATTATTGTAAATATTTGATCTGAAATCACTTGGCAATGTTTGAATTGTGTTTGTTTTTTCTTTGATGGGTTTAAAAGAAATCATCCAAAGGGAGAAAGAGCAGTGTACCACTTTTTAAAACAAAAAATGTAAACTTTTGATTTTAATCCAAAGGATAATATTTGCAGCATGCTCAACTTTACCGATTCTGAAGGACATTTTCATGGACACTATTACCGCTGAGACCTTGTTATGGTGCAGTCCTCAGTCTCTTACATATATCTTCCTTGTGATCCTGCCCCCTTAATGTAGTTTGACTCTGCCTTACCTTTGTAAATATTTTGGCTTGCGTTGTCTTAAAGGGGATACCTTGGAAAGGCACCAAAATCATGGGCTCACTTTTTTTTCCTTCTTTAACTTCAGCTGTGCTAAACAGTATATTACCTCTGTACAAAATTCTTCAGGGAGTGTCACCTCTAATGCAATACTTTGGGTTGGTTTCTTTCCTTCTAAAAAATTTGTATAAAACTGGAAGTGTGTGTGTGAGCATGGGTACCCATTTGATAGGTGAAGTGCATCTGATTGTGAAGAAGGGAGAGTTAAGTTGCTTCATTCTGTTCATGGTGTAAAGTTTTGAGATAAAATTTATTATAAGAATGTAAAACCTTAAATTATTAATAAATAACTATTTTGGCTATTGAATGTGTGTGTGTGTGGTGTTGTTTTTTTTTAATTCTTAATTTCACCTGAATGTGAAATGACACATTTTAGGTATTTTTCAGCTGGGACTGATGCTGGCTTGTAAAAGCACTTGTGGGCACAGGAGGGCAAAGTTCTCATCTTTTAAACTATTCTAAGAATGTTTTTTAGGTGCAGTTTATGAAATTGATCTTTTGCTTCAAAGAAAGACATCATGAAGTGGACCAACTATATCATGTACACGGATAATACTTTCTACAAATATGGTTCTGGCTTATGTAAGAAAATAGCAATGCTCTCAAAACAAAGGAAGCCATAGAGCACACCTTACTGCTGAGGTACAAGACAGGGATATTAACAGTCAAAGAGGGGTGCTAGAATGACAAGAAGACAGTCATGTTAACCTCTTTCTTCTGTCAGGATCTTCCACTCAGTAATTCACATGCCAAGGAGAAAGTAGGAGTAATTATTTTTCCAGTCAGTTACTGTGGCAATTCTACTTGCAAATTATCCTAATGTTGGAATAACAAATGAATCAGGAGGGGTGTCTCCCTTTTCTCATGTCCATATCGAAGTCTATCTAAGCTTTCTCACCGGAGCCTGGGTTTGGCTTTAACACTCACCACTGGCATTTTAGTTGAAGCTCAAGCTCCTGCTCTAAGGTGCTCTGTGCTCAACTAGTTTAGAATGTAGGTCAGAAGCCACAGTTGAACCTTATGGAGGTGATTTTGAGCCGTTTCTTTTAAGGTAAAGGCTTACTATATTGTCATTTTCTTTGGGACATCTCTCCCTGTCCCAAGTGTAACAGTACAAACCAAAATAAAAGATGAGGGCAGGTGTCTGACATCTAAAGAAATAGAACACAACTACATTCTGTATTCCTTTCAAAAGTCCCTGTACTTGCTCTGGGGAGAAAGATGAGCTTTTCACCCACATGGCACATGAGAGATGCCAGTTGGATGGTTTGGTAATCTACATGATAGGAGGCATGTGGCCCTGATTTTATGGCAATCATATCAAACTGTCCAGTGTGACTTTTAGCAACTAAGCATATATAAAAGGCCAACGTGTAGAAAACGACCAAGTCAGTCTCCCATTTGGCTTTCCCAAGTCAGCGGGAGCTCAGAAAGGAGAAGTGGGTTGCAGTTCCACTTGGCCCGTGTTAATCCAGTTCTGAACGGTTTCCGCTCCTGGCATTCCCTAAACTGGCTGTTCAAAGTGGGGATTTGCAAGCAGCGTTAGCAATTTCCTGTCCAGCTGCAGCTCAAGTAGCTGTGTGCTCCCCCCCCCCCTTTCTTTGTTCTGGTTTCTTTTTCTTTTTTCTTTCTTTTTTTCTTTACCATGGGCTGTGGATAATTTTAGTGCATTTCCTCTCTGTGGATTATCATCTTTCCTCCTCAAAGTTGCATACATTGAGTTCCTACTGCTCCGCTCCAGCCGGCAGCTGGCCTCCCCAGCACTTCCTCTCGGTTCACTGTGGGTTTGTTGTTTGTCAGTCCACTTCTGAAATTAATAATGTTTTCTGGCCAAGTGCCACAAGCCATTACCACAAAGGGGAAGTAACACATATGAATAGCAGGAAGCCATGCAGGGTCACAGTGTGAGCTGAACCTGTGGAGGGAACATAATTGAGCCTGGCCCATTCAGCAAGTGTCTGACATTGATTTGGGGAGAGGGAGCTCCCTGCATTAAACAGCTCAAGCTGTGAAGAAAAAAAAAAAAAAAGTTTCCAATAAATTGGTAGCAAATGGTCTTTGTCATCAGTCTGAATAAAAGAGGGAGCAAGGAGAGTTTAGGGCCCCCATAAAGTTGCAATGTCTGGGATTTCTCCCCTTTCCTGGTATATTGTTTCATAAGGCTGGTAAACAGAGGGGGACCTGCTTCCCTCTATTGCCACAAAAGGATTCATGTTAAATGGGTGATTTTTATGGTTCACACAAGCCAGAAGATTCAAAGAGCTATTCTCATTTTCTTCTGTGGAAGGTGGAAGGTTGTAACCGACAGCATGAGCCCCCCCTCTTCTTTCGCCCCCCTTCCCGGCCATCCCTCTGTTCCTTTGGTTCTTTTGTGCTGGTAGGAGCGCTGTGAGGGCGATCATTTTGCATCTTGGAGTTGGGCTCACTTCCTGAATGGAGCCCGCATGCGGTTACTAGGGCAACCTTTGCCAGCAGCTGCAGCTCCCCGGCCTCCCTCCTCACCTGCTGTCCCCATTAGTGGCTTCCTCAGGTCTCAGAGAGAAAGTGTTACCTTTCCTGGCCTTCTGCCGGGGGCTGGGGGGCGTTTCTGGAGAGGAGGTTATCTGCAGGTTTCGTGGGGGCTGTGGGAGACAGGGAATGCACCAGTTGATGGAATGAACTGGTTTTAGGGTTAAAAGCAGACTGAGAAAGAATTATCTGGGGATAGAAAGAAATACCAGCGCGGTCTTCAAAGGAGTGGAAATGGAGACTTGCCCCGACCCAACAATTAGGAGACCTGAATTCTCACTCGGGCCCTCTCACTACTGAATCAGACGGATAGCCCTGGGTCAGTCACCCGACCTCCCTGAGTTTCTTTTTTCTTGTCTGTAAAGTGAGAGAGTCTTTGCCTTTCATTCCAGGATTCTCTTATAAGTCCAGCCTTCTGGTCATGGATCCGAGACACATATTAGATAAAATAAGGTGCAGAGCAGGTGAAACAATGAATGTTTATTAAGACTATTAGATGCTGTGCCTCATGTACAGTATTATAGCATTTAATCCTCAAACAGCTGTGTGAGATAGGTCCTATTATTCTCCTTAGTTTTCAGAGAGGAAACTGAGGCAGAGAGAGGCCAGTAACACCTAAAGTCACCTAACAGGAAGTGGTTGAGCTGAGTTTCAAAGCTTTAGCTCGTTGTAAACTGCTTGCCATCAGTATTTGCTCATCTTTATCAAGTCCCGTGATGTTGACTAGGAAGTGGTGACCCCATTTTTCAGCTGAGGAAGTGGAGGAAGCAGAGGTTAAGTGACCTGCCAAATGAAACCCACATTCGACAGCCAAATCATGAGAGGCCCCCAGCTGATATGTTGCCAGAGAGGTGTCATATCTGTCTGGAAACTTCCATTCTCTCCTTCCACAGAGAAGTTGTCCTTTCTTGGGCTCATGAGCACATAAATTACAAAATTGATTTTCCTAAGGATCTTTAGAGTGGCTAGCAGCTGTCCAATGGGCCCTGACCCTTGCCTGCTCCCCTTTCTGGATTACACTAGTGAAAAGATCCCAGAGAAATTCACTTCCTCTATCTGATTCCTGTGGAGAAAAGGATGTGTGTGTGTGGGTGGGGGTGGGGGGTGGGGGGGTTGTTCAGGTGGGGGAGAAAGAGAGAGAAGTAAGGGCAGATCATGTGATAGCTAGCTGTAAGTAAATATTCTTGAAAAGTCATCTAAAAAAAAAAATCAGTGTTTAGACCTTAAATTATTTCAAAAGAATTACTTTGAGTATACATTTATATGCATTTCTCACTCAGTAATACTCGCTTTCCGGAAGGTCTTACAGACTGAAATTTTAAATACCTTTACTCTTGTGTTCTTATCACAATTGGCCCCGAATCAGTCATTTCAGTGACAGAATCTTCAAACATCTTTAGTCCAAAATTGATTTCCTAGGAGTATTTAAGGGCACAGAACAAAGTTCAAACAACTCACAAATATTTATCCGGGCCTTGGTCTGTTTTGCACTGGTTTGATGAAACAAGGTTCAGGCAGAAGGGAAGCGAAGACTTAACAAGCCTTCCAAGACCGAAGGCAACGCCACATTTCTAGGTGTACTCTCTTCATCTTTCTGTGTGTCCCCCAAATCAGAATGTAACCTTCATGGCACGGCTGGGCAGGTCCTTGTATATCTCTATATGCTGCAATAGTTGAAATACCATGTTAGACCCTATATTTGATTTTTTATATAGAAAAGGATTAATAGCCCACACGCATGCAATTTGGCTGAGCGACTTCCCTGTTTTGTCACGGAAAATACCTTTAGCGAATGTGTGTGTATCCATTGCCTTTTGGTGATGAGATGTTTTGGACCACCAGGCCTCCAAAAATGAACTCTCAGATATACAAGAAAAAAGAGAAGAAAGACCATATGTAAGTTGGTAATGACATTCTAAAAAGCACTAACCAAGTGTGAAAAAAGTTGCTTCCTCTAAGCTAGAATTCCCTCTTTTTTGCTTTTGGAGACAATCTAACTATTAATTACATTAAAAAAAAATTTTTCCCCCCACTAGGTCTAGTTAATTCCTACTTCAAATACTAACCAGAGAAAAAGGAAGAGAGGGGGAAGGTGAAAAGGGGGGTCTTGGGAAACACACAGCTCTCAGGACAATTGTAGGGAGAAGGCCCCTGTATATTATATTCTGGTTATTATTGCTGCATAACAAACCACCCCAAAACCTAGTGGTTGCAAGCCATCTTCTATTTTGCTGTTAAATCCTCATTTGGGAAGATCTCAGCAGGGGAGGCTGTGTTTTGTCGGGCAGCCCCCTGGCCAAGATGGCTCACTCACGTGGCTGGCAGCTAGTGTTTGGCTACCAGCGGGGAGCTCACCCCGGTTTCAGGGCCACGGACTTCCGTTCTCCAGGGCCGGGGACCTCGGCTCTTCTCCACGTGGCCTAAACTTCCTCACGGCATGGTGTCCGGGTTCTCTCGGTGAAACCTAAAGTAACAGAGCCAGGTGGAAGCGATTGATTTTCAGGTCCTAGGCTCACTTCTACTGTATACAGAGATCCGTCATGGTTTCAGGAGAAGAGGTGAAGGAGGGGCAAGATTTGGAAAGAGCACATGGGAAGGAAAATATTGTTGCAGCCATTTTTAGCAAAAACAGCCCACCACATCGTAATACGTAAGCTGTTTGAATGGAGGACTCAGAGAAATAATAGTGAGCCCCCCTACTAACCTCCTGTTCCTATCTTGAAAACATAATTGTCAACTGTTGTAATTGTTCTTTTTAAATTTTTTTGGTATTGATGTTAGAAAGAGAGAGGAAGGGAGAGGGAGAGGTAGAAACATTGATGATAGAGAACATCAATTGGCTGCGTCCTGTGTGCCCCCACTGGGATCAGGCCCACAACATGGGCATCGAACCAGTGACCTCTTGGTGTATGGGTCGATGCTCAATCACTGAGCCACACCAGCTGGGCTGTAATTGTTCTTTTAATCCAACTTTTTTTCATCTGTCTCTAATATTCACCATAGAGCATGCCATCAAAACAATCATTAAGGCTGACCCATAAAATGGGGTCACGACATTATCAACAGCAAGGGCCAAAGCTTCCATGTGAGAGGAGGGTCCAAGAACGCAGGTGATGTTTATCCATTGACAAGATGACAAACTTCATTCACTGAATAGAGTCACTGGAGATAAAGTAAGGAAGATAGGCAAAATATGAGTTTATTTAAAAATAAAAATGAGGCCTAGCCGGTGTGGCTCAGTGGTTGAGCGTAGACCCATGCACCAAGAGGTCAGTGGTTCAATTCCCAGGCAGGGCACATGCCCAGGTTGTGGGCCTGATCCCCAGTGGGGGGCATGCAGGAGGCAGCCAATCGATGTTCTGTCTCATCGATGTTTTTTATTTTTCTTAATTTTTTTTGGTACGTGCCCCTAGCGGCAACTGAACCCTGGACTCTCTGGTCCGCAGGCCGACGCTCCAACCGCTGAGCCAAACCGGCCAGGGCCTCATCGATATTTTTATCTCTCTCTCCCTCTCTCTTCCTCTCTCTATCTAAAATCAATAAAGAAAAAAAAATTTTTTTAAATCAAAATGACAATTGGAGACATTGGAGTAGAAGAGGAAGGAAGGTCTCTGGGGAGGGAAGGGGGAAAAGGAGAACCACCCCTTGAGAGTAATCCCACAGATACTTTATTTCTGTGGTCTTTGAACCTTTGGGCTAGCTTACCTCCTGAAATAATTAAAAAACAAACATAAAACTATGTATTCTTGCATCCATTTTCAGATTGACATCTAAACTTTTTATCAATTTTACACAGGTGCAAATAATTTTCAGAATATTGCAAATATTGACAATTCAAATAAAATTTACATATAGTCAATACATGTTTTAATTTATCTGAGAAATTTAAATATAATAACATTGATAAATCATAATTTTAAAAATAGCTTAGCTGGTGTGGCTCAGTGGTTGAGCATTGACCATGGACCAAGAGATGTTAGGTTCAACTCCAGGTCAGGACACGTGCCCCAAGTTTCGGACTCAAACCCCAGTAGGAGGTGTACAGGGGCCTGTCGATCAATGTTTCTCTCTCATTGAAATTTCTATCTCTCCCTCTCCCTTCCTCTCTCTAAAAAATCAATATAGCATATATTAAGAAATATATATGGACAGTGACATTTTCATTTCAGTAGTCAAAAGTTTTTCATCATTTCTCTTCTTTGTGAACTTGTATTCCATTCCATTTCTCCCATAGTTTTTTCCTTCAGACAAAGTATTTT